GAGTTTCACTGTGTCGCCAGGCTGGAGTGCAATGGTGCCATCTCACTGCAACCTCTGCCTCCCAGGTTCGGTGATTCTCCTGTCTCAGCCTCCCGAGTACTGGGATTACAGGCATGCCTGGCTAATTTTGTATTTTTAGTAGAGATGGGGTTTTGCTGTGTTGGTCAGGCTGGTCTCAAACTCCAGACCTCAGGTGATCCGCCAACCTCGGCTTCCCAAAGTATCGGGATTACAGGTGTGAGCTATTGCGCTTGGCCTGATTTGACATTTTTAATTAAAAAGTTTTTTTGTTTGTTTGTTTTTTTGCATGGGAATGTCCTGGGGTATGAACAAGATTAGTTTCGAAATTACTTATGGGCCGGGCATGGTGTCTCATGCCTGTAATCCCAGCACTTGGGGATGCTGAGGCGGGCAGATCACCTGAAGTCAGGAGTTCGAGACCAGCCTGGCCAGCATGGTAAAACCCTGTCTCTACTAAAAATACAAAAAATTAGCCGGGCATGGTGGTGTATGCCTGTAATCCCAGCTACTCGGGAGGCTGAGTCAGAATAATCACTTGAACCCAGGAGGCGGAGGTTGCAGTGAGCCGAGATCATGCCACTGCACTCCAGCCTGGGCAATAGGCAAGACTGTCTCCAAAAAAAAATAATAATAATAATTACTTAGGACTTGAAGATGTTAGATTAAAGAAAATGAAAAAGTTAAGTAATATAACCTAGCTCTAAGCATTAATGCTGCAGTTTTGGTCATTGACATCAGATGTCTTTCATTAATACAATGGTAGTTAAGGAAAGGAGTGATAAACATTTTGTGGGCTACTCAAGGAAATTATATAGGCAAACTTTTTATTCCATGAAGTACTGGAATAATGATAGGATATAGTTGTATAGGTATGTCGTTTTGAATTTTTTTTCTTCATGTTATTAAAAGGTATCCTTTTAAACTGTTTTCTTTCATTTGGCTTTATGTATGTGACATTCACAGAAGTTAGAATTCTGGTGATTGTGCTTATGACATTGTAAATGCTAATTTTCATAAACCAGGCCACCTTGTACCATGAAGTATGCCAACAGCTGTAAATGGCTGGTGGGGGAAAAGAAGTAAATAGGAAGAACAGATTCCCAGTAAAATAAAGGAATAATACGTTACATTTGGTTTATTTACTATTCTATGTGAGCTTCTGCTCAGGTCATTTGACTAGCAGTACAAATTACAATGCCCAAGGTGGCTTAGTAAATTTAGGTCAGTATCCAGAAAGCGGGTGGCCGTGGTAACGGAAGTCTCTAGGTAGTGATGATAATGAGCCATCAGGTAGCGGCTAGTATTTTTTGGAGTTTTGCTTATTTTGAGTTAGGTTTCCAGATAACAGTGAAACCATACAAAAGAGTCCATCCTTGAGAAGAAGAACGGGCTGTCAAGTAACCAGCCAAGTAGTTTGGGGTTTAGAGCAGGAGTGGGATCCCCATGGGAAAATGGAATATTATTTTAAAAAATCAAGTCAAAAGTCTAATCATACAACCTGGGGGAACTGTGTTCCTACTGATTGATTTGTTCCTAACTTGAAAATCCAGAATGCTCTAAAATCTGAAATTTTTGAACATCAACATGACATTCAAAGGAGGAGTGTTAATTGGAACATTTTGGATTTTGGATTTTCAGATTTGGCATGTTAAACCAGTTTGTATTTTTCCAAAATCTGAAAAAAATAAAACCCAAGTACTGAAACACGGCTGGTCCCAAGGATTTCATATAACAGATACTCAATCTATATGTGGTTTGGAGAGTAGACTATTGTTAATTTAATGTATAGGTAACTAGTGGGTACCTGCATTCTTTTCTCTAATTAGAACCAGATGACTAATTCTAAATGATTATCAGTAGTGGAGTGGTGATTTTGATTGTTTGGCTCTAAAACTAATTGGGACTGAGCCTTTACGTTTATGTCTTTAATATTCTAACATAAATGGGGCTAAGATTTCGTTAAATTTGACTTGCCAAAAAGAAAGTTAAACCAACTAAAAATTATGCTGCCAACAAGCAGCATAAGCAAAGTGAAAACAACAAAATGGGAGAAAATATGTTTGCATCATGATGTCAAATGAGTAATTTTTTTTTTTCATTTTATTATTTTTCAAAAGAGAAGACAGGGAGAATTTTAGCCTTTTTTCTTTTCTTTTCTTTTTTTTATTGATACATACTCTTGCTCTATCGCCAAGGCTGGAGTGCAGTGGAACTGCCTCGATCTCCCAGGCTCAAGTGATCTTCCTGTCTCAGACAGTTGAGTAGCTGGGACTACAGGCACATACCACTACACCTGGCTAATTTTTAAAATTTTACGAGAGGTGAGGTCTTGCTGTGTTCCCCAGTCAGACTGATCTTGAGCTCCTGAGCTCAAGAGATCCCCTAACCATAGCTTGCAGAGTGCTGGGATTATGTGGTATAGGCATGAGCTACTACACCTGGCTGATAATATTTCTAAAATACCTAAGGCTCTTATATTAGTAATATAATAGAATTCACAGAAGATCTTGGTAATTTTTAAAAGAAAGACTATTTTTGGCTTTTTTTTTTTTTTTTTTTTTTTTTTTTTTTTTTTTTTTTTTTTTTTTTTTTTTTTTTTTTTTTTTTTTTTT